GGCTCCTACCCTGGGGGTCTTTAAGAGGAGGCTGGATAGACACCTTGCTGGGGTCATTTGACCCCAGTACTCTTTCCTGCCCATGGCAGGGGGTCGGACTCAATGATCTGCTCAGGTCCCTTCCGACCCTACTAACTATGAAACTAATTCTTGACTGGAAAAAGAAAGCTGTCTAGGTGGCCTAATACAGCTGACAAGAGCTCTTCCCCCACCCCCACCCCCCCTTTTTTTTTTAAAGATTACCAAGCAAATGATTCATCTTGAATGCTTCAGCTAGCCATTTTCGTGCTGGAAGAATGCTTTGCTTTTAGAGCTGCATTCCTCTTTCCATGCATCCTTCCCCCGCAGCCACCTTTGTAGGTTAAACTACCACTGTCATCCACTGTTTTTAAGTAGAATGGATTAAGTCTCACTGTTAAATCTGAAATGGAGCCAGGCAGGCACCTTCAACTTCACAATGCCTGAAAACCCATTAGTATTAAAAATGAACAACAGACCTTATAAAGTGCAGTAATCTTAATGGATTTTGTTCTCCTGGTGCTGTGTTCTCCAGACAAATCTTTTTGCTTACCTCAGATATTATAAAACAGACTTTTATAGTTAATAGAGATTTTTTTCCTCTGGTATATTGAGAAGCTCAAAAAGACTCAGTCTCTGATTTTTAGTGGAAAAAATGGAATAAAGGGGCTGGAGTAGGTTTACTTTCCTGCCAAGAATAATAAGGATGGAAAAAGTTACTGGGGAAAGTAACTGTAGGCTGCAGTTAAAGAAATGTATATATGCTTCTGGAAGGTGCCTCCTAGACCACTAGAAAAATCAGAAAGGAGAAATTAGGATCGTGCAAAAAAGGTAGGTGTCCTGGGGCTGGAGGGCCTCATTTGTGTTTCTAGCTGTTCTGTAAAACAAGACAGATTTTTGCACTTTGTTGGATTTTGTGCCGACTCTAGAGACTGGAGGCCAACTTTCTTTGTTTTTAATGCTTGTACTGTATTTTGTTCATTTGGTGAAACAGAACCCACATCTCCCTAAGCATTCCCATGCAATATTTCATGGTGGGGTTTGCTTCCCAGCTGCAGTCTCTCTCTTCTCTGGCACATTCTGTCAACTGTGGTGCATTCCTCTGGCTCCTTGAATGCATTTCCCCGTGGAGCTTTAGATGAAACGGAAAAGAGCATTTGTCTGTCTGGCCTTTTTGCAAGGCTTCTTATGTATGGTGGTAGTGGGAAGGCAAGTAAGGAAAAATGTTAACATGTTACAGACTCGCCTGTTAAAATATTTCCATCTTGCAAAACAAAAGTGCAAGATCACTCAGTCCCTTTTGGGCAGGAGTTGTTGTTTGGCATTTGTAGTTTACCATCTTTTTTGCTTCCTGTTAAACTAGTACTGGTCTCAGCTCTTCTGCCCACATCTGTTAATATAAACCAGCTCCCCTATGAGATTGCTACTGGGATTAGAAAAGATTTTTTACTACATTATTTGTGAATCATGTGTTTAACTTGGCTCTGGGTTAAGCACTAGAAGGAAGGTCAGTGTGGTACCATGGTGGCTATTAATCCGGAGAGGCATTCTGCCAAGGCAGAATAAGAACATGGAGGTATAAAAGCTCCTCTTCTTTCACGGTTTTGGCTTCAGAGCCTTGCTTAGGGCTCTTGCCACATCTCTCCAGAAGTTGCTCTTTCCAGAGAGGTGGTTGTAGGAAGCAAGTTCTCAAGGCCAGTTTGCTCTCGTATTCTTTGTCTGTCACTGACTTAGTACAGAATTGCCGAGCTGGGACGCAGCAGCTGGCCCTTTCTCACTCTGCAGAGTTCAATGCTGGTTACTGAGAGTGAAAGATTAGTAGTACAGCTCAGGTGACTGGGAGACGAGCAGTAGACTCAGCTCTCCAAGGTCTTCAGATCTTCCCTCCCAAAACTTTCAGGCAGGTTTCTATCTCTCAAGACTGTAAAATGATCCATTTGAAAATTCAGCATCTTAAAGGATGCTCAGTACTTTTTCTGATAGCTGTTAAATTTTTGTACCTTTCTGTAATTCTTTACTTCCTTCCTGATTGGAAGTTAGAATCAGAAGAGCCTGGTTATTTATAGTCTGTATATATAGTATGCTGAATTGTATTTCCTTCCGATATAATACAGACCATTTGTAACTAAGACATGCTTAATGAAGTGGATCCCCACTAAGACAATACATAACAGTTCTTGAATGTGTAACAGTCCACACTGTCAGACATAGTTTAGCCATAACCATGTTAACAGTGATTTCACAACCCAAAAAAGTGGTGGAATCTCCGTCCTTGGAAGTTTTTTGAGAGCAGGTTATGCAAACTCCTTGGCTGGGATGGCTTAGTTATGGATGACCCTGCCTTGAGTGTGAGGACAGTCTATTAGCCATCTGTGCTCTGGACCCATGTGCCTGAACAGACGAGCACTTGTAGTTTGGTTGACAAAAGTGCCAAGCACTGGTTGTGAAGGGCTAATTGCAGCAATTTTAAAATCTCATACAACAACTGACCTATTTCTCTCCTTAATCTCAACTGTAATGCAGAGGCTGCTGGAAAATAAATGTGTGCTATTGATAGATGCTACTTATAAATGAAAATCTGCTCTTCCAGAAGCTGTCTGTTTTAGAAAACATACCCTTTTAGTTAGGCCTAAGCCATCTAGGTTTGTCTTTTGGAGCATGAGACACCTAGAACAGGTCTCTCTTGTTTTTTCAACTTCCTCTGAAATCTTTCCTGGAGCCTCGGGAAACGTGTTAAAGGTGCAGACCCTTTGCTGTTGGACCACACTAGGTGGCATTGTGCTCCTCTATTGAAATGTTTTATAACTTTCAGAAACAGAGTACAAATCTACCACCCAGTAAGAGAAGCTGGTTTTTTCAGTTAAGTCGCCTGGTCCCAAGGAAGAGATGTTGCTTTTTTGCATTTGTTCACCTGCTCCATTGATTAATGGGCCTTTTACTGTGGCAGTAATTAAGCAACTCATTGCTTTTTGTGGGAGCCCCTTGTAAAATTAGCATCCACTTACAGCATAGAAATTGGTTCAACTTCTACTTGAAGGCTAAGATTACTAAGCAACTGATTTTTTTGTGCTGGTCTGCTGACTTACTGTTTAGAATAAATTTAACATACTGTTTTTTCTTTCTGTTTTCCACTCCCATTTTTAGTAGAATGAGCTGTCATTGCTGGAGGAGGGGCTAACTAGCTACTGCAGAGGATTTAAATAGAAAAGAGATTTGTGACTCAGGTTCTTTGATATCAAATGTCCTACATAGCCTCCTCGATTGGCTGATTCCTTGTAAAAGGTTTGTGTCTGGATGATGGATGACACTGGAAATGATACCAGAGCATTGTCTAACAATGTTATTCAGATGCTTTAGGATACAGCTATATAACACAAGGCAGCATCATGCAGAGAGACCCTGAGCTAGTTCTGCAGCAACTTGCTTCAGAATAGGGCTCAGTCTGGCCATGTTCACATAGCATTCTACTTTGGGGTTAACAAGCTCTATTTTTTCATGTATGCTTTGTGCCACATTTAATTTTTAGGGCAGAGAGTCAGTGTACCATATGGGGACTGGCTTATAATAATGTTCATTGATCACTACTGTGGGTTGCTGACCATGACTCCTTTACTGCACCTACTACATTTGAGATCATGCTGTGTGCAATGGTCAGTCTATTTTAAGAGATGATGAGTCTGCTCTGAGCAGATGGTGGACCAGCCAACATATATTTAGATGTTAAGACTGCAAGATTTCTCAAAGCATAAAAACAGTAACCAGTAGGGGAGCCAGAATCTGGGTGTACATGTAGAGCTGTATGTGTTCCCCCTTTTTCATTTTAAAGGAATATGAGTAATGGGTTACGTCTCATTTTTGACACCTCTGTTTCAGTGATGGTACTGAGACCTTTCTGTCTCCTTCCGTAATTTAGGTTCACGGTGATGGTGCTTTCTCTGGTCAAGGGATTGTTCCTGAAACGTTGACGCTCTCTAATCTCCCACATTTCAGAGTTGGTGGAAGCATCCATCTGATTGTTAACAACCAGCTGGGATACACCACTCCTCCAGAACGAGGGAGATCATCACTGTACTGTAGTGACATTGGTATGTGTGACAGGTGCAAGATGCAAGCTGTTTTGTAGCCTATGCAAAAATAACTATAAACTCTGTATGTTCTTCTTTGGGGTCTCTACAGTTAATGTTCACACATCCTGTGGAATCATCTATGCTTAGGATGAGTTAAGCAAAATATATGTGCATTTTGAGAATACAGTAGAACATGCGTAGCAAATTTGTGGATGATAGGTTGGTTGGAGTTGCAGACACTTTGGAGGACAGGATTAGGATCCAGAATCATCTTGATAAACTGGAACAATGGTTGGGAATCAAGAAGATGAAATTCAACAAGGCCAAGTGCAAAATCCTGCACTTGGGATGGAATAAGTTCATGCCCAAATACAGATTGGGTAATGACTGACTAAGCTGTAGTACTGCAGAATAAAGATCTGGTGGGTACAGTGGGCCAGAAGCAGAATATGACCCAACAGTGTGCTCTTGTTTGCAAAAAACTGAACAGCATACTGCAATGTAGCAACAGAAGTGTCACCTGCAAATCAAGTGAAGTGATTCTTCCGCTCTGTTTGCTGGAAGTATTGAACACACTTTGCAGTACTGTGTCCAGTTCTGAAGGATGTGAACAGACTGGAAAGTGTCCAGCACAGCACAACAAAAATGATTACAGCAGCAACATAGGAACACAGCTGGGTGCCTGGGGCACAGGGACAGTGGCAACTTTGGTTGACTGTGTGATCACAGTTGTCATTGCTCAGCCACCTGCAGCAGCCACTTTTTTTTTGGAGGTGGAGGGGCAAAGGTGCTTGGCCTGTCCTGGTTATACTGCTGAATTGTGATCTGGGATGTAAGATTTATGAGGAAAGTGTGAAAGAACTAGAATTATTTAGTGTGGAGAAGAGAAAACTGAGGGCACTGAGGTCGGATTTGATAACAGTCTTTAAATACCTGAAGGGTCATTACGGAGATGATAGGCTAATGTGGCCATAGGGTACAGGACTAGAAGCAATGGCCTCAAGCTTCAGCATAGGAAATGTATGTTGGAGATTAGGAGAAACTTCCTGACTATCAGGGTGGTCAAGCATTGGAACAGGCTACCTAGAGAAATTGTGAAATCTCCATCCTTGGAAGTTTTCAAGAGCAGGTTGGACAGACACTTGGCTGGGCTGGTTTAGTTCTGGATGATTTTGCCTTGAGCAAGGGCCTGGACTTGGTGAGTTTATGAGGTTCCTTCTAGCCCCTTTCCTATGAGGTTAAAAAGCAAAAAACTTAATGCAAAGAAATGTTCACCCACTCAAAAATGTAATAAAAAAGTAAAATTCTCTACTATTTTTACAGAATGCCATAGAACCCACATTATATGCTATGGCATTCTGTAAAATATATTACTATGAAGTTTTCATCAGTAGTGAAGATTTTTTTTTTTTATTATAATCAACACGCATTTAAAGTATGTCTTGTGATTCAATATACTAAGCGCTCTTTTCAATTTACTGAATATCAGTGTTCAGTATGGCTCTTCCAGGCTTTCTGTTAGCAAAGTCCTACTGTATCATTGGTGATGTATAGGGGGTGCATGTGCACCCCCTGAGCATGGCAGCGTACCCTCTACGGAAAGGACGCTCACCACTTGCCACCACCCCCCTCCCCTGCCGACAGCACCAGCAGCATCTGCAGGAGCTCCCTGTTTACCGCTGCCATGCTCCCGCTGCCGCCAGTGCCGCCATGCCCCCCAAGCCGTCATTCACGTACTGTATCACTTCACTATACCTCTGCTATGATCATAGTATAGCTGGTGGCCTTCTATATGAGTTGTAAGGTCAGTTTTGCCACAGAGTAAAGTAAATGAAGGGCCTTGTCTCAAAGTGACCTTCATTAACCATTCATAAGTTTGGCTTGAATAGTTAAGTCATGCACACTCCATTCATTCATTCCTATGTATGCCTGTACCCATATTGCCCCCATAACTAAGCAAATGTAGGTGTGTGTCTTGGCCATTTTACATTAAGTGTTTCTGTTTTACTGCTTCATCAAATCAGATGTTGGTGGATACAGGAACACTGATGGAAAAGTAAGCTGTTCTATTTCTCCGCATTGCTTTTGTATCTTATATTCCTAGATTTCCCTTGTTGCTGAGGTTACCCACCTAGGTTAAGAGAAAGTGGTCAGATCAGAAAACAAGGCTTGCTTTCCTATGATTGCAAAGGGTGGAGAGGGTTGGATGTTGTCCTGAGTGTGACTTATCCTCCTATATTTTGACTCCTGGTGCAGGTAAGATAATTGGGTGTGCTATTATCCATGTGAATGCGGATGATCCTGAAGAAGTCATCCGAGCCACACGACTAGCTGTCGAATACCAGCGCAACTTCCGGCAGGATGTGATTGTTGACTTGCTGTGTTACAGACAGTGGGGTCACAATGAACTCGACGAGCCATTCTTCACGAATCCCGGCATGTACAAAATCATTAGGTAGGGTAAATACTTCTAATATGAAGAACAGGACCAAAGTGCGACTTGTGTCTGCACAAGCCCCACATAACACTCTTCTTCACTTTCATATTATAACAGAACCCTCTGGCTGAAATATAATCTAAGCCCTTGATCTCTCTCATTCTGTCTTGCTATTCACAATAGAGTTCACAGCAGAAGTGTCAATAGACACGTAGACGTGTCACTAGACATGCCAGTAGACATCGCTGTGCTGTCTTCAGCATACTTTCAAGAGAACTTGCATCCTAAAGAGAAACTAGGTGTTACCAGGGAAGGCATCCCTAGTTTGTTAGTTGATGCCCCTTTGAAGAACAAGCTCACATGTTACTTGTATTTTGAACCCGTACATAGTGGGTCTTCACCTGTGAGGAAAAGGCAAATCAGCTTCTGGGTTCAGGGTATGAACTCCTGGGTAGGAAGGGTTGGCAGAGCAGGACCAATGACTTCTGGTGGAGTTGCACATAGAAGGCCTGCCCAAGATGGCTGTCTACTTAGCTTGATCCTTAACTTTTGTATGAGTGTTAATACTAATCTCAATTTTAGCTCCAAAAGCAGCATTTCATCCATGGATTGTCGTAGTTGATATGGAGGGTACAGTGAAATGGGTATAGAGCTCATTAGAAGCTCACTGCAAGCTCATTATTTTTAGAAGATGAGCCTAATAGTATCAGGACTCACCTAACTGGGTCTATTTTTGCCCAGTAATTGCCCATTAAAGAAACCTTTCCAGTACAGTGACAATATATCAAGTTGTGTTCTGGAGAATTTCTGACGGACTTGGAATGACAGAAACAGAAACTCCATTAGACAGCATGTATAATTCTGCCTTATACCGACAAGGTTATGTTTCCTCATTACTTTTAACTGTGGGATTTGATTTTTTTTCCCTGACAGATCTCGTAAGAGCATCCCAGATACATATGCAGAGCAGCTAGTAGCTGGTGGACTCATGACTGAGGACGAAGTATCAGAGATAAAAACATCATACTACTCCAAACTGAACGACCATCTTGCCAAGATGATGTTATATAATCCTCCTCCCATCAACCTGCAGGCGCACTGGAGTGGCATGGTGGAACCCACCGCTAGGATCACCACGTGGGACACAGGTATGCCTGTATCACTCCTGCAGTTCATTGGAATCAAGTCCGTGGAGGTTCCTGAAGAGCTCCAAATGCACAGCCACCTTCTGAAGACATATGTGCAGGTATGTAGGATTTACTGATGCTCTGATTTAATCCCATTACTCAGGCAGGAGGCCTGTTACAGAAATGTAACACAGAAAGTGATGGTGTTAAAAAAAGAACATAATCCTCTTGAGAAAAATAATGCTCTATTGTTGAGGCTGGGATCTGATTGGTATTTTTACTTTTTTTTATTATTATTATTTTTTACTGAAGCCAAAAACATCAACTCCAGTATGGAAACATTAACTCAAGTGAATATCAAAACAGGTGTGGAAACAACTTTCAGAGAAGCATTAGACACACTGTCAAGATGCTCAGGAAAGCTAGATTATGTTTTATCAATCTGAAAGAGATGTGCATTTGATTCTAATGACAACAAGACCAAGGAAACAATATCTTTTGATTATTTTTTGCCCAGTTTGCTGTGATTGTGTTTATGTAATCGATGATATTGCAAATCAATGCAGATTCCAATAAAGGTTATATTGTTTTTGCTTCAATCTTAAAATGAATAATATATCTCTAGGCCCCTAGCATATTATCAAGCTTCTAGTTCGTTTCTACCTGGAGTAAAATGTGTATTGTATTACATATGATGATGCACTATGCCATCTGCACCCCTCTTTTCAAAATCCTAGCTCTGCCAATGGATGCTGCCTATGGTCTGCAGCTCTCTCCATCTACAGGATACTCAAATTCTGGCATCTTTCACCAGCATTAACTAGATGGAGAAAAGAATAAGATGTTAAAAGCAGAGCCCCTACTCTAAATAGTTCAAGATCCAAGGTTTTCACACCCTGTAATTGGATTCATGAGTCATTGTTCATCTGAATGAACAGAAGTCCCCTTGCATGCAGAGTGCTTTTTACAGGCTAAGTGCTTATGGTGAATAACGACTTAGAGTAGTCGTGTTGCTCTATGTGGGGTTTTTTGTAGCTACACAGATTGATCAGTGGCATATGATATGCAGACAGGAATGATAATCCATTATTTTTACTTCTCGTTAATGGACAGGCGAGAAAACAGAAAGTGGAGGAGGGAACAAAATTGGACTGGGCTACAGCTGAAGCATTAGCTTTTGGAGCCCTGCTCAGCCAAGGTAAGAAACAACCAGACAGCAGAGAATAGAAAACATTGTTGCCCTATGAGTTTTGTGTACATCTTGTGAATAGCTGCAAGAATTATTACCAGCTATAAAACCTGACATTTCAGCTGCTTTATTACCTTAAAAATGCAGTTATGAGTCCTGACTCTCTTGGGTCACCTTTGATTATAAATTAGTTCCCAAAGTGACCCAAAGGATTAAGGCCTTAATTCAGGAAGATAAAACAACTGCAGGTTTGAAGCTAAGCACATGAACTGTCATATCAATTGATTCCAGGGAACAACCCATATGCATATTCTGAAAAAAAATACTCCTGTGGTTGACTAATAGATTTTTCTCCACTCTGACCTGGTCTACAGTTTGCATTACACATGTATTTTGTGTTTTGTTTCTGATGTCTTGGTTGCTTATTACTAGTATCACAAAATAACTAAGCAGTTGCTACAAATGGAAGTCTTTGCTCAAAAGGGTCCAATGCTAGGATAGAAGGGTGATATCTTGTGTTCAGTTGGTCTCATCTTCGTTAGCTTCAGTGTGTTAGTAATAGTGGTGACCATTTTGGTGCCTGTTCCAAAGAACTTAGGTTCTAGCATAGATACAAGACAAAAGTGGTTCACACAGATCAGTCTGGCTACATATTTATACTAAAGCTGTTACCCATCACAGCAGCACTGGAGTGTACAATCTGAACCAGGGGCAATATTGAAAGTCTTCATGGGTGAAGTGTGTTTGAAGGAGGGGAACAAGATCAAGTCTGTGAGAGCTAATAGTGTTTGGAGCAAGTGTACAAAGTGAAGTGGGGGAGTACAAAAATGAGTGGTAGAAAGCATCCTGGAGAAGCAGTTGGGACCAAGGCATGGGAAGTGTTGGGAGGATATTGGCTAAAGAGTGCAAATATGGGTAAGTAAAGTGGGGTGAATAGATCCAGGGTCTTTCAACAAATAAGCTTTAATTTGATGTGGTCAGGAGAGCTTTGAAGAGAGGAGCGATATTGTGGAGGGTAGGGAGCTATTGTCCCTTATGCTGTCTCCTTTTGCAGCTTGAATTCTTTAATCATACTTTGTTCCTTGCTTGATAAGGGTTTAATATCCGATTAAGTGGACAGGATGTCGGCAGGGGAACATTCAGCCAACGGCATGCAATATTGGTTTGCCAAGAGACGGACGACACTTACATCCCTCTGAACCACATGTCCCCAGACCAGAAGGGCTTCCTAGAGGTAAGCTGCACATTTGACAGAGCAGACTTCATATGGTATTAAGAGTAGGTACTTTCTGCTTGAGAAGCAGCTTTGATCTGCTCACTGGGGTGCTAGTTGAGAAGAATAGACCAGATGTTTGTGGTCTAGACCTAATCTTCGTCTCTGTGCAGCTAGCTCCTGAGGAGCACTTTCAGGCTTGCTTCTCTTGTTCACTTGAGAGAGAGAAACAAATGGAGCACTGCTGTGGCACATGTCCATGTCCCAAGCAGAGCAGGCACCAAGAGTCCTCTTTGCCAGCTAGTACTGAGGCATCACATGAAAGATAGGGGTGGCTGGACCTTCTCCATGCTTCATGTTGGGCACGATGGAGACATGACAACTTCTGGGGCACAGGCACAGCTTCAACAGATGCTGCTGACCAAAGGAATTGGATCATTCATGCATGGGGCACCTGTGTGTCAAGAGTGGGATTCACATCTTGTTTCTGGAAGAATACTCACCCAGGTTTCCAGCGCTCCAAACCTTTTCCCTAATTAAAGGGTCTGGGCTTGTGTATAACAAGTGGTTGACCACTAGAGTCAGCCTGGGGTAAAAGGAATCATGGCCTGACTTGCAGATGAGCAGCATTACACCATTACCAATGGTAATGCTGATGGGAGATAGCTATACATCTTCAGCTGTAGTGCATTATCTTTTAACTTCCATTTAAAATGGTTTAGAAGTTTTTTCTTGGTGGGAGATCAGCTCTGGATGGGTAGATGAAGTCATAAAGGGGCCACCTAAAGAAACTTTTTATTGATTTCAAATAATTGCATTTGACTCCATAAAGCAGATCCTTTTTGTCTTTTTCTATCCCTGTTACTGCTTCCAAACTATTTCTCTGTGTTAGGTGAGCAACAGCCCCCTGTCCGAAGAAGCAGTGCTTGGTTTTGAATATGGAATGAGTATTGAGAGTCCCAAATTATTGCCAATTTGGGAGGCTCAGTTTGGCGATTTCTTCAATGGGGCCCAGATAATATTTGACACTTTCATTTCTGGAGGTGAGTGGAGAAAGGGGTAGATTATTCGGAGTTATTGCCATTGGTGGGTTTACAAATACTCCTTTGAACTAAGACAGTATGCACAAGGCAAGCAGTTCTTCCCTGTCATGGGTGCAAGAAGTCTACCTACATAGAGAACCTCTCTCATCCCCCCACAAACAAGTGTCTGTGAAAGGTCTATTCAAAATTGAAAGCAGAAAAATCACTGCAAGCAGAGCAAGGATGACTTAATCCACAATAATATCACAGTTTCAAATATTGGTCATAAAACCAAATTGAATTTGCAAGTGGAGTCAGACCTCAGTTTGTTTGACAGCAGAATTCTTTTTCAGTGGTGTGTTGGGATAATAGAATTTGCATATAATTTGAGATGGCATTTCATTGAGGAAGTTCCCAGGAAATGGGCTTAACCTAATTATGGTGAATGGTAAGACAGGACTGAAGTACCGGATGGTATTAGCATACATTTCACCAAGGCCAAGTGATTAAGTTGACATACTAGATATTAAAAAGCTCGCTTTCCTAGCAGTTTGGTACAGAAATTGCTGTATAAGAATTCAGAAGAGGACAAACAGTGAATTACTTCCAGTCAGAGAGTTTTAAGTTTACATCTACTTAATATTATTTTTTTTCTTTTTAAGAGACTTTTGCTAGGGGCACCTACCTAATCAGGGTGAGAGATTGATCAAATATAAGTGGAGTCAGGGTTTACAGTTGCAGCAACAAATTACACCAATTTTAGGTTTTTAAGTGGAGAAGAGGGAGCTGGTATAAGTGCTGGAGACTGAATTCTCCTTAGAGCCTGATTTATATATGAAGTGTCCCCTGGAAAAACTCATGTTACTGCCAATTTGGGACACTTCAGATGATCAAATTTGTGCCATAACAAACTGTAAAATTGACCAATTAACTCCCACATTAAAGCTCATGATATTAATTGCATGGTGATTTTAGTCTCCTGATAGATTACTTTAAAAAAAGCCTTCTGAGAGATGATTTTTACAGTCTTAATGCAAGGTAACAAGTCCGTTTGGGGTTTTATGTCCAACATAAATCTCTCCTTATCTTCCTTGTTTAGGTGAAGCCAAGTGGCTCCTGCAGAGTGGAATTGTCATTCTTCTTCCCCATGGCTATGATGGCGCAGGCCCTGAACACTCATCCTGTCGATTGGAGCGCTTCTTGCAGGTAGATCAATGCACCTGTCTATCTCATGTTATTGAGGCTTGTCAATGGCAAATGCTTTGGAGAGAAGCTGTCGCAGGTTGCTGCATGCCTATAGCACTTGTCAGTGGAAAGGTTGGAAAGTCTAATTAGGATCCTTCAGTTAAGATAGGATCTGTAAAAAAGAAATGGTGTGTATGAGTAAGGGAGAAAGGTTGAGCTTAGGGGTTCAGGTGGAAACCTGGAGTCAGTAGTTTCATTGTAGAGTTTGACACAAGCTTAGGCAAGGCCCAAAATAGATTAGTCAGTGGAGATTAAGTTGCTCTTTTACAGCTTCATGCCTCATTTTTCCAGTGTGATCCTGGGCAGACCAAATTCTCATGAAGATCCTAGGACTAAAAGCTTGCATAAGAAAGACACGACCTTTAATTTGTAAGGGGTGAGGTTAGTTGCATTATAAGCCAAACCTATAAACAAGTTATGTACTTAACTTATAGATTTCATAGATGTTACGGCTGGAAGGGACCTCACAAGATCATCGGGTCCAGCCCCCTGCCCAAAGGGCAGGAAGTCAGCTGGGGTCAGACTCCTCTTTCTCCAAACAACTCTGTGATATCTTTACAAACTACCACTGAATGATGGTAGCATATGGGTCCAGGCTCAGATAGAGACTTTGTTTTAAAGCTCGTTTCTGCTACAGAGGGATAGGAATGGTTGCAGAACCTGTTAAGCTTGTAATGCAAATCGGGTGCTAGCAGGATTCTATAATACTGTAGAGCGAAAGCCACATCGCTCCTTCCCTGTTTGCCTTTCCCTCTAAGTCATGCAGGACCTTTTGGCACATGTTGGAACACTTACCTCTTTCCCTTTTCAGACATTAGTGTGAGTACCACAGTCCTCCTTTGCTGGGTCTTGCATGCTTGGTTTGTGGCTTGATGAGGTATTATTGTGTTCCCTTTTTCACAGATGTGTGACAGCTCAGAGGAGGGAGTTGATGGTGATAATGTGAATATGTCAGTGGTGCATCCAACCACCCCAGCACAATATTTCCATTTACTCCGAAGGCAGATGATTCGAAACTTCCGGAAACCGCTAATCATTGCCTCTCCCAAAATGCTTCTCAGGCTCCCGGTAAGGCAAACCTCTCTTCCATGGTTGCTCTTTCTTTTTCTCTCTAAGGTCTAATCAAAATGGCAAACTACATGGACTTGACTGAAGAGATGGTTTTGAACCAGTGAGGTTCTATTGGTACAACTTTGTGCCTGGACACTCGGGACATGTTGGTGCTGTGTGAGACAGCATGCATCTGAATCTGCTGATCGCTGAAAATATGCCAGATAGCCATCTCTTGGTCCCTGCCAGGGCATTCCCACTGCTGCTCTGTGGTTTTCAGGTTCATTTTTGCTCATGAGAACAGCAGTGGGTACAGCAAGTGCCTCTCTATAACAGCAACTTCATGACATTTTTCCAGAATTCAGCATGCATGGGGCAGGGAGTGTTTTCAGGGCCGTGTAGATTTTTCAAGTCTTAAGTCAATTAAACCCTGGCTTGTATCTTGCACCGGTAAATTTTACCAGTACAAGCCAAACCACTATAACACTTAAATTTCCCACACAGGTTTTTTAAAAAGGAGCTACAACAGCATCTAATTTGACTGTGTCCTCTTAATCCGACCTGTGTGAAATACAAACAGCAGACATTTAAAACTGCACTGCTCAATTTTGCTTCCTGATCTTTTTGCATTAACAAAACAACCTGCTGTGTTTTGAGGATCACAACACTGCCCCAGAATACATCAGTCCTACTAGCTTTTGCCCTCTGTGGAGGGAGAGAGAATCCTGGAAACGAACAAACAAACCAAAAAACCCCTCCCTAGGTAATTTTTCACAGTGGTATAATTTTCTTCTTTAAATCTGGTAGCTAAAATTAGCATGCCAGAATTGATCTAATGATGATCAGTATCAGCTGTTCAGCAGTTTTATTGTAGCCATTGTTAACAATGAACATTGTTAGCAAAGAAAGTCACTTGCTGTGGGTGGCTGATAACTTTTTGATTTATACCCAGTGGCATATGACTTTTTGTGGATATTTTTCAGGCTGATGTTTCACTTACTGCTTACTTAACTGTAACTTGCTTTTTACACCTTTCAGGTTTGTAAACCACAAGTTAAATATCTTGTTTTCTCCCTGGGCTTAGGCTGCTGTGTCAGGTCTTCACGAATTGGCTCCAGGGACAACGTTCCGGCCAGTCATTGGTGATTCATCAGTTGACCCCAAAAGGTAATTTAATTCTTGTTTCTCATATTAACATTCCAAAGACTTATCTGCATAATTGTCACTAAAGCAAGTTCATACTTGGAAATTTATGCCTGATAATTTCCTGAGGAGAGAGAATGAAGAAGCAGAATGAATACCCCTGTAAATAAGAGAAGGATGTGAAGGAGATTTCCATAAATGCAAACTTAGTGTGATTTATTGTGCAGTCCTTGGGGAATTTTACACTGAAAACAAGCACACAATTTAGCACAGCTGGCAGCTCGTAGAGAAGGCTCAGGAATAAAACACTAGAAAGGTTTTGGGTATAGCAGTTCAGGTTTGAGGTTTGTTAACAGAGCTGAGTTTGGGAATGGCGTATCTTGCTTCTCTCTGTAATACGCTGGACACTGATCAGTTCTGCAGATCCAGGGTTTCTAAAGGGGGTGCATCTGCACTGCTGTACCCCTTCCACTTCCCCCCCCAGATTAGTCTCTGGTTCTGCTCATTTATAAAAAGCAGGTGCTCTCTCCTTTTCCCTTGACTTTTTATGAGGAAGCACAATTATTTTTGTAGCCTTTGTTTTTGCATGTTTGAGATGCTGAAGTAAAGAGTGTAGGGATGAGGACCGTGGCTGAAGCAGGAGTTCGTATTTTAATAGTGTGTTGTGCATGTGTCTCTTCCCCTCCCTGCTTCAGCAATAGCAAAATTACTCACTAACTTCTGTCTGAGGTATTTGTCGCCCCCATCAGTGTGGTATCCTGTTGCCTCAATATCTTTCACAACATTTGTGTAGCAGAAGAATGCTGTTCTCCCCATGTTACAGATGGGGAATTGAGGCACAGGTTAAGTGATTTATCAAGGATCACATAGGCAACCTGTGGCAGAGACCAGGTCCTCAGAGTCCCAGGATGGCAATCAAACCACTGGATCCATCCTTCTCCCTTTATGTGTCGTTCCCCCCACCCCTCCCAAAACTTGCTTTCATGTTCAGATACTCAGCACTTTGGCCTGAAACAATTCTTAAGAAGAAAGAAAGAATTTCAGGTTTAGTGTATAGTAGTGGCTGCACAGTGTCTCTTTAAGAGGCTGTACCTCAGCTGTTTGCATTTTTCTGTCCCTTAGCGTCACCCAGGTGGTGCTGTGTTCGGGCAAACATTATTATGCCTTGGTGAAACAGAGGGAAGCCCTTGGAGAACAGCAGTGCAGCACTGCCATCATCAGACTTGAAGAGCTGTGCCCTTTCCCTCTGGAAGCTCTCCAGCAAGAAATGAACAGATACAAGAATGCCAAAGGTCAGACAGGTCTTTGCACTTTGCTTGTAGGTTTTCTTAAAGGAGGTGAAATAAACTCATAGCTATCTAGAAGCTCCTCCTTGTTACTCTTGCCTTTTAGTACTAAAATCCTAGAGTGTTTTTCTTCTCGATGAATAGTTTGAATCTGACTGTTTTTCAGACGCACAGGCCTTTATTACATGACCTAAGCGTAGGATTTTAGGGTCTACAAGATGGACACGCAATTTTGAATAAACTTTTCTACACCTCCAACCATATGCTACCAGTTTCTACTCAGTTTATTGAGTTTGACATTATTTGTCTTACGATGTTACCTATAGGCCCCAGCTGAAATTGGAACCCCACTTTGTTAGGTATTGTACAGGCATAGAGTTGGAGACGGTCCTTGTCCTGACTGCCTTTCTGATATTGGGGTTTAATTTCATATGTGCATTTAAATGAAGAGTGAAGATCTGATTTAACTGAGTGGCAGACTCTCTGCTATTTGATACCTTGACAGAGAAAGAAAGAGTCAAGGGAATGTTTTCTGTAATACAAGAAGCTGAAGCTAGAGGAACAAAAAGGGGAGAGAGGGATAGTTTGTTTTTAAATCATACACTTTTACACCCGCCCATGCGTGTTTTCACATCTTGGGGTTTTGTTTTTGTTGGGGGTTTTTTGGGGAGGGGGGTGCAGTTCATTAAAAATATAGCCCTCTGGCTCTAGCAGTCTGTGACATGAAGGTAAATCCAGTCTGGTGAACATAAGCATGTAAGGCAGTGCCCTGGTTAGGGTTGGTGAGACCACTGTAGAAACAATGGGAATATGCAACAAAGAGGATTAGCCAAGGAGATAGGTCATTACTTGGTTTTGGATTCAGTGAGAGAATGTGTAGTGTAGATATACACAGAAAGGTTCTTCTTTTTTACACACCGTGTAGTTAGCTTGTGGAATTAATTTCCACAGGATGTGGTGGAGGCAGATAGCACAGCCAGGTTCAAAAACAGACCAGATAGATTCATGGATGATAGATCTATTAATGGCTGTTGAATAGAATGGTTGGATAAGTTTCTTTCTTCTGGCATCTCTACCCAATAACAGTGGATGCCAGAGAGGGTATTGAACAGGAAAGAGATCACTCTAGAGATATCTGGGTCGGTGTTATCCCTCTGTAGCATCCATTCCTGCCGCTATTAAAGACAGGATACTAGGCTAGAGGTGCTGCCCTGTGGGGTCAGGCCAACTCTCAGGATCTCAATATTGTGCTGTTAGACAGGAGGGTGTGACACAATTGCACATATACAAACACACAAATCAATTAGGTACATACACACACATGCTACCAGCTCAGGCACATACACATCCAAACCAGCCTAGGCACATGCATACCTATCACCAGTTCAAGCACATACACTATACACCCCAGAAGTTAGACACAGATCACTA